TGCACATGCTACAGCCTAGCTTGAGTTTTTTTTTTATCTTCCATTTTCTTCCCTTGTCTCCAAACAATTTCATCTGAAGACATCACAGATTCACCACGTCATTTATCCCCACTTCCTGTCGTCTACTGGTCGATATCTGATCTTGTTCGTCTGATCTGATCCCAGGATGTACAAGGGAGTCCAGGTGGTCTTTATGTTGGTCTTCTTTAGGCATTCATACTTTTGGAATTTCCTCGGTGTCGCTTCCCTGTCTTGTCTAGAAGTCTCTCTATTGTGTAGCAGATAACTTGCTCTTCTGGCTCTTACATATTTTCTGTCTTAATTCCTCAATGTTCCCTATATTTTCTATTTATGCTTTGTGTTAGAGAAGTATCCATTTGGACTGGGCACAGCAAACACACTTATGTTTTGACCAGCTGAAGATTTCTTTTCTTTTTTTAAAATTATTATTTCTTTGTTTGTTTTTTTCTTTTCAGATTTTTTATTTGAATTAGAAACAAGATTGCTTTACACGCCAATCCCAGTTCCTTCTCCCTCCCGTCCTCCCCTACACCCCCAACTAAAACCCTAAGTATCACACACCCTTTCTTCTATTCTTCCCCTGACTCAACCTTTCTGCTCCCTCATGACCTCTGCATCCTTCCTCTTCTTCCCTTCTCATTCTCGTAGCTCCCTTCCCCCTCTCCAGCTGAAGATTTCTATAAATTTCCTCACCTGTGGAAAAAGACGCTTCCTTGATGAGGGGACAGAGCTAAATTGCCTGTGGGTAGAAGAAAATCACTTAGAATGAAATTGGAACTCACACTGGTTTAAGAACACGGCAGTATTGCTTTCTAATCTAGAGTCCATAGACTCTCTAGACATGGGTACAAATAACACACATTTACATGCTCATTGTTGGGCTATTCTTCGATGATTTATGTTACGCACTTAGTAGAACATATCTACATTCTTGGATACTGTGAGTGTATCCTTTCAAAATTTTGTTTATTTTTATTTTATGTACATTGGTGTTCTGCCATGGGTGTCAGGTCCCCTGGGATTGGGGTCACAGACAGCTGTGAGATGCCATGTGGGTGCTGGGAATCGAACCTGGGTCCCCTGAAAGAGCAGTCAGTGCTCTCAACCGCTGAGCCCCGTGACAATATCTTTATGCCTTAGTGGTTGTATTGTTTGTGTTACTAACAATGAAACGATTAGAGGGTGATCTGCTAAACAGAGGCATCATGGGAACTTGGTGGGGTGAGTGTAGGGAAAGAACTCCAGATTATAATGATTTTGTGCTACTGATATTCATGGGGTCCCAAGAAAAAGACTTTGTGGCTGGATCTTGAGTTCTCAGCCAGTGAATCAGTGCAA